CGGTGGAGCTAGCGAGAAAGGCACAAGGGCATACACAGCAGCGAGAAGAAAAAGTGAGATAAAAGTGGAAAGTAGCGAGTTTAGTGGGAATAGTGGTAACGAGAAGAGAGAGGAAGAGCGAGAGAAGACGAGGAAATAAAGGCACAGGGAGCAACAAAAGGAAAGCAGAGTTATTCAAGGCGAAAAACGTAAAGAGTAGAAAGGTTAAGGAGAAGCGAGAAAAGGCGGGAGAAGGTGGAAGAAAAAGGAAGTAGCAGATGGCGTCGATGGCGGGAAAGCAGGCGGGGAGCAGGAGTAAAAACAGAGGAGATGAAAAGTCACTAGAGAAATATGTCACCGGCGGTGACAAAATATGGAAGAAAGGATTTGAGAAAATAATAATAGAAATAGAGGAAATGAGGAAAGAAATGAGGGAAGAAATGGAAAGAATGAAGGAACAGATGGTGGAAGAAAGAAGGACAAGAGAAGAAGAAAGAAGAAAGGAGAGAGAGGAGTGGAGACAAGAAAAAGAGTTACTAGAGAAGAGAATAGAGGAACTGGAATGGACCAATGAAAGAAAAGAGAGAAGAGAAAGGAAGAACAACGTAGTTATAAAAGGAGTGAAGTGAAGAGATAAAAGGGAAAGGCTAGAACAGGAAGTGAAAGAATTTATAGAGGATAGCCTGAAGATAGAAGTGGCAGTAAAAAAGGCAAGCAAGATCAGAATAAATGAAAGTAAAAACATAGTGATTGCAGAGATAGATAAATGGGAGCAAAAAAGAGAAATTATGAGTAAGAAAAAAGGATTAGACAAAGGAATTATAATAGAAGATGATCTAACAAGAAAAGAAAGAGAGATACAGAAGAGGCTGAGAGGAATAGCAAAGGAAGAAAGAGAGAAGGGAGATGATAAAGTGAAAGTAGGTTACATGAAAATTAAGACAAAAGAGAAGTGGTACAGATGGAATGAGAAGGCAGGGAGATTGGAAGAAACAAGAAGTGAAAAAAGAGATTGAGGATGGGAGAATCAGGAAAGGGAGGAGGAAGGGAGGGAGAAGGAGGAAGACAAAGAGGAAGGACTAAAAATATGTTTTTGGAATATTGCAGGATTGGCAAACAAATGTGAGGAAACATGGGAGTATCTGGAAAAATTCGATATTATAGGTCTGACAGAAACTTGGATAGAAGAAGAAACGTGGAAGAAATGGATAACGAGAGTGCCAAACAAATACAAGTGGAATTGCATACCGGCGACAAGGGAGTGCGCGGAAGGAAGAGCCAAAGGAGGGATAATCGTGGCAACTAGCAAAGAACTGAGGGGAGTAAAAGTAAAAGAAATAAACAAAGGAGCAATGGAGATAAGCATGGCATACAACAGAAAAAAGTAGAGGATAATTACTCTGTATAGTCAAAATATAAAAAAGAAACAATGGCCAGTCTGGAGGAGGTAATAGAGGAAGACAAGGAAGGATATCTAATGTTAGGAGGAGACTTTAACGCTAGAACCGGGGAAGAAGGTGGACCAATAGGATACGGAAAAAAGGAGGAAGAGAAAACAAGGAGATCAAGAGACAAGGTGGTGAACAGAGAAGGGAGAATATTGGTAAACAAGCTGAAAGAAAAAGGATGGATGATACTTAACGGAAGCAATGGAAAGCAAGGGGAATGGACATACATAGGAGAACAAGGAGCATCGGTAATAGATTATGTGGTAACGAATGAAAAGGCTATAGAGGAGGTGAGAAAGGTGGAGGAAGGAAGCAGAACAGAATCGGACCATGTTCCAATGGAAGTGGAAATAGATGGAATAAGAAGAAGAAGAAGAAAAGAAAGTGGCTGTGTGGAGGTGGAAAGGAGCGTATGGTCGGTGGAAGGGATAGAGCACTATCATGAAGAATGTGAGGGGTGGACGTGCACGGAAACAAATACAGAGGAGATGTGGTCAGCAATGGAAAATAAAGTAAAAGAATCAATAATGAGGGTCAAGAAAAAGGTAACGCCATGGAGGTTAGGAAAAAAGGAATGGCACAGCAAAGAATGGAAAAAGAAAAAAAGAGAGTTTAGAAGGGAACTAAAAAAATTGAAGAAAGACAAGATAAAAAGGGAGGAGTATGTAAGAAAGAGAAGGGAGTATAGAAAATGGTGTGAAGGGAAGAAAAAGAAACACGAGGAGGAAGAGGAAGAAAAAATAAGATCCATAAGGACAGAAGAAGAAGCATGGAGGTATATAAATAAATACAGAAAGAAGAGAGAAAGAGTAGACGAGGGGATAGAGTTACACACCTGGAACGAACATTTTATGGAGCTACTAGGGGGAACAAAGGAGAGAGTGATGATGAAAGAGGGAGAGGAACGAGAAGAGGAGAATAGGAAAGAAAAGAGTAATGAAGAGATAGAAGAAATAACAAAGGAAGAACTAGTGAAACAACTAAGAAAACTGAAGAAAGGAAAGGCACCAGGAGAAAATGGAATAGAGAATGAAGCGTGGAGGCTAATGCCAGAGAGAATAGGCGAAGTATTTCTAAAATTGATAAGGAAGATATGGAGGGAAGGAGGAATACCTGAAGAGTAGAATAGAGGGATAATTAGCCCCATATTCAAAAAAGGAGAGAAAGGCGAAGTAAAGAACTACAGAGGAGTGACCCTGATGGATACGGCGTACAAGATATATGCAAACATCCTAAATGAAAGATTGAAGAGGGAAGTAGAGGAAAAATTAGAAGAAGGACAGTTTGGTTTCAGGGCTGGAAGAGGCACGACGGACGCAATTTACATCCTGAACTTCATAGTAAACAAAGAAATAGCAAAAAAGAAAGGGAAGATCTTCGCATTCTTCGCGGATCTAAAAGCGGCTTTTGACAAGGTGGATAGGGTTAAATTAGGAGAAATGCTGAAAAAGGCGAGGATTGGAGAACAGTTAAGAAAAAGAATCATGGAGACCTATAAAGAAACGAAAAACAAAGTGAAAGTAGGAAAAGGAAAGTCGGAGGAGTTCTGGACGAGAAGTGAAGTCAGACAGGGATGTCCTATGAGCCCAACACTGTTCAACGTATATATGATGGATTTGGAAGCAGAAATGAGGAAAGAGCAATTCGGTGGAGTTTCAATAGGTAAAGAAAAAGTCTGGACGATCACTTATGCGCGGCGCGGCACGGACAGACGACGAAGACGCAGGGTAAGCCACCCGCACATCGCGCGTGTCAGTCCGAACAGTGGCGGGAGTCAACCCAGCACCACCAGAAAGTAGTGCCCCACTGTCAACTCCCCGGTGCGTTGGCGGACGATCATGGTCTAGCCTACGCCCGTCACCATCAAACTCAGGAGAAGCAGTAAACTTAAATATCTCACCTGGTATAAATTCACTAAACGTCGGCAATGGTACTGACGGAGTATTATTCCAAGGAGCGCTAGACACGCTTTCTCTGTCAATGAGAACTGAGACGCCTCTTTGAACGATAGATCCTTAGTCGCCATCAACTTGTGTATGCTTTTTTATCTCACATAAGCATGACACTTTGAATCCGAGACTTGGTGTTTATAGTCCTTATGTTTGAGTTTGATGCAATTGATGCATTCGAATTCGTAGCTTAAACATTCGGACTTAGAGTGTCCTGACTTTCCGCAACGTTTGCAGAACTGTTTACCAGAAGAAGACTGTTTGCACAAAGACGCCGTATGACCTAAACGCTGACAGTAACTATAGCGCCGGACTTTGTATATATGGGTAATTCTCAAAAAACGTAATCTCCGTGGACTGTAATCTCCGTGGTATATTGACATAAAAAACATAGATAAGTTTTTTATATTGCATATTCACGTATTCATATTACGAATAGTGACTTAAAATGGTATGAAAAAACATAATTCACCGCTATCCGTTAGTTAATAATAATAATTTTTTATCAAAACTGAAAGTTGAAATTTACGTGTTCACAGAGAATCACCTATATACGGTTGTAGGAAAAATCTTTTTCCCATATATATACAACGTTGATACAATCTGGGTCCTGAAACGCAAGAGAAAGCTGTTAGTGTTTGCTAGCACCGGTGGTGAGCTGTCACTATTATACACCCTGCGTTGAAGCCTACCAGCCTCAAACGGTGGAATCCATGAGGCACCCCACCCCGGAGGGGGCCTAATGTTAGAAAGTACCTCCTCCGCGGTATTGTCCTCATCCAGCCCTCCGAGAAGACACTGTTTAACTTCAAACTTGGCACGTAAGCGAGCCAATCTCCCGAGGGGGTAATTTTCTCACCTACAGTCGAGAAGAGATCTACGACCTTGTTTGCCATCTTCCAGGAGGATGTGACGGGACCAGCCCGTCACTTGTATATGGGTCAATCTTTTACAAACCGTACAAAATTGAACAAAAAATGACCGACCCATTTTTGATTTAGCTGAAACTTTTTTTACGGGTTCTATATAGAAAACAAAGAGACACCTGTTCGAGGAATTTTTATTTATTTATT